CATATTGGATGGCAGATACCAAGGCTATATCAGAGATATCTAATAAATATTGGGATGTCATACCAGATAATGTGTATATAAATCACAAATGTTCGTGTAGCTGATGCATCAAAAAATGAAGCTATGAAGAGAAGTAATGCATAAATCATAGATGTCTTTGAACCTCAATTTTCTTTGACTATTTATAGAAGAAAATATTTGTTTGGATTTAGATCTCAGTTAAACCATAAATCCAAATTGATCTTTTAAAACAAATAAAAGTCAAAATTGATATTACAACATTGTGGCCGGTTTTTTTGAGGCCAAATGTCACCTGATATATCAGGAAATCAGGTCACATCACCCTTACCAAAAGTGATCGGATATTGAGACGCTATAGTTTCCAGCAAGCCTTGTAAAAGGACATATTGGCCTATATATCAACCATGTTGGGCGATATTTAAAACAATGCAGCATGGTGATATCCAAGTACGTGTTCATTAAAAAGAAATATCGGATAATAAAAAAAGCAGAATTTCAAATAACCCCAAAGCTTTAAACAAGAATGTCTAACTTCCAGAAAGAAGGAAAGAACTCAAAAGGACTTACATCTTGCATATATACATTTTCTAATAACTGAAGAACATCTTTGGCAGACTGACCCGTCTTTGGTTTGATTTGCCCTCCTCCATTCAGACAGCCTGTCAATGAAAATTCATTACTGGTTTATATCCTTCTTCCTTTTGCAAAAATAAATAGAAACTCTAAGCAGTAAGCAGCAGTTTCACTATGCTAGATTTCAAGTTCAATAAAAGCTATATAACAATGAACAATGAATACCTGAAGGACATGCCATAACCTCAATAAAATGATAATCACATTTCCCAATCTTGATCTTCCTTACAACATTCTGCAGGTTCCGGAAGCCATAACATAAAGCAAACCTTAAAACTATTTTACCTTCAACCTGGTATAAGTCACATAACATGTTAGGACTACAATCCTCAAGTAAAAGGAGAAAAGGAAATTGTAAATTACGGAAAATTGTACTTCTAAAGTCACTTCGCGAAAATCAGAATTCCTGATTGTTTTAAAGTTGAGTGGGCCTTCAATTTCTTTATCGAAGAGTACTTTAGCAGCATGACGAAAAACTGTTTCTGCATAACCTCCAGATCCACCAGACACCCCATAAAGATGCCCTTCTTCATCAACATTAGTTAACCTTCGATAACCACAAAGGAACAAGTTTGTCAACAATTTTCATATCACAGTTATGCATGAGAAAAACTTTGTAGAGAAAGTGCTATCAGAAATCACTATCCATTATGATGAGCATGCTGATTCTTAGCATTTAAAAACCATAATGTTCTGCTTTCTGTTATAATGTTCAATACACCTGATGGACATTTCCATTTGACTAGCATGATAAAGTTTGTAGAATTTTTTACCCCCAACTTAAAACTCATTGATCCATTAATCCTCTCCATCCCAACAAAATATCTTCCTAACACAACCATAAACCTACAGGGTTCAAGCAGCAGCTCTCATCAATAAGAGAACTTACAAAAATAATGAAAGGAGAACCACCAGAACTTCAAGCAACATCTCTCATAGAGAATTTACAGAATTAATGAAAGGAGAACCACCAGGAGTAACGTCTCAAAGGAGCACACCCATGACGTCTCAAAGGAGCACACCCATGAGAACATCTTGAAGGAGGAAAGCAATTATACATTCTACTTTGAGGAATGAAATTCTACATTCTATCTCAAAGGAGACAGAAGAACCAATAAACTTTTTAGCTTTGTTCTTGGATACATTCACATCCTGTTGTGTGTTTTGTCCTCATTACACAACCACAATTCGTCAATCAAAATCCAAATCTACTCCAAATTTAAATGTTCTTTCTTTTCTCTTTTGTTTCCCTTCCTAGATAAGGATAGGTTTTTTGTGAAGAATACATGCAAGCTGGGTTGAGATAGTTGGATGCATGGAACTTTTTCTCTTCATTAATTCATGAGATATTGCATACTTTTTTTATTAAAAAAAGAAATGATTTTACATCCTAGCCTTTTAGTATTAAACCCAATTGTCTAATTTTCTGATC